TCGACATGTTGGAAGGAAAAATGCTCAGATTTGCATTTTTATTTTTAATTTTATTTTTTAAGAATTATTTAATTTCTATTTAGTGATATTATTATTTTAATTCACCAGAAAGGTAAAGTCAGAAAGCCTTCAGGCCTGGAACTTGAACATCAGTCGGCCATGTGGGAATCCAGAACCTTAACCGCCACGCCACCTGCAGGCCTCTAGATTTGCTGTTAGACTAGTTCTTCTGGGCATAGGGAGAATGGAGTGGAGATGAGGACAGGAGGCCAGAGGCCAATTGGAAGGGGAGGTTAGTCATCCATTGAAGAAATCATGAGAGCCTGAATAGGGGGGTACGGTGGGGAGCAGAGACAATAGGAGAGGGTTGACCAACTGGTCGTCAGGGTGACTGAGGAGGGGTTGAGAATGGTGCCCACATACCTACTTTAGAAATTCATCAGGGCAGAGGAGGAGGAAGAGAGGATGAGTTTAAGTCTGGAATGTGGGTTTTGCAGATATTGGGGTATCAGGGAAGAGGTCACGTGGGAACGTCTCAAGAGATGTTTATGTGCATGATTCTGCGGTTGAAGGGAGGTGTGGGCCGGAAGTCAGGCTGGGGATGCCAGCCTGCTGCCCAGCGGTGTCTCTTCTCCACAGAATCACTGAGGAGTCCGCTGTGACCACGTTTGAGGCCCTCAAGGCTCGGGTCAGGGAGCTTGAACGGCAGCTATCTCGTGGGGACCGTTACAAATGCCTCATCTGCATGGTGAGTAGAAAGGGACATGGGGGGGCCTTTGGTCCTTACTGCCCTCTCGGGTTGGAGGTTGGAGAGGGTCTCTGCACCGTGATCTGGGCTCACTGGGTGGATCTTCTTTGGAGTGACCCTTCTCTGCCCACCTCCTCCCTAGGACTCCTACTCGATGCCCCTAACGTCCATCCAGTGTTGGCATGTGCACTGCGAGGAGTGCTGGCTGCGGACCCTGGTGAGGTGGCAGGGAGTTATGGCGGGGGGCTGTTCTAGGCACTGCCCGGATATCCGTGTTTATGCTCCAGCCTGCTCAGGGAAATGGGGAGCACGGGCGAGGGAGAGCAGAACAGCATGGAACAGAGCCGGGCTCCAGGATGGTTACCCTGCACCCTGCCCTCCCACCACAGATTTAGGGATTCTCCCCTCCCTGCCCCCTCCCTGAAGGCCCACTGCGCGGCGCATATTGGTGAGACCCAGGTCAGGAGGGACTGGCTGCATAAGCAGACCATGGCCTCCCCTTCCCCCTCCTGTTACTGAGCTCCTCTGCTCCTGCCCCTGTTCTTCGCTCCGGAGCAGCCATTAAAATGTCGCCCGGAGACAGCAATAAAAGGCCCGGACGTGGGCTCTGTGTCCTGATCAAAGGCCGCGTGTAATCTCGTTAGGGCCGCGACAGCCACAGCTGGACCCAGCCTTGTTCTCATTACCGGGGCTCCCGCTGCGGGGCTTGCCAGGCGGTTTGATCCTGGCGTCCCCTCAACACAGGAGCATGCCTACCTGCTCATAGAGGCTGCCCATGTGTCCCCAGTGCCACTGACAGGACCAGGCCCCAGCACACACTGGTGCAGGGGCATGGCTACAGGCCCAGGTGCTCATGTGCAGACATGTGCACGTCGTGCATCTCCAGAGTCCCCCCCGCCCCCCCTGCAGGGTGCCAAGAAGCTCTGCCCTCAGTGCAACACGATTACAGCGCCTGGAGACCTGCGGCGGATCTACTTGTGAGCGAGCCACCCCGCAGACCTGGCCTCCAGCAGCCCCACTGCCCCAGCCTCTGCGACAGCGACCCTTCCCTTGTACATACTTGCACACAGGTTCCCCGTGTACATACATGCACATATCCACACATGCACATGCACACACGTACACACACAGGACTCTGGAGCCAGAGGGGAGGCTGCGGCCCAGGCCCTGCCTCTGGCTCCCACCTAGTTTGGGGACCATACCTGCTCCAGCCTCTGTTCCAAGGTGGGGCAGGGAGGTGGGGTGGGAGGAAGAGTGGGGCAGGGCTCCTGATATCCAGCCCCTGGACTGACAGACAGACAGACAGACATGCAAACACCAGACTGAAGCACATGTATATAGACTGTGTATGTTTACAATGTTGTGTATAAATGGGACGACTCGCCCGCTGCCTCCCCTTTGGTTGTATGATTTTCTTCTTTTTTTAAGCTCCCTGGAAGCAGTGTCTAGGGCTGGATGGGGGCTCGGCCCATCCACCCCTCTGGTGCCTGCCTCTCCCTCTCCTGTGGTGTCCCTCCCCTCCCATGTGCTCGGTGTTCAGTGGTGTATATTTCTTCTCCCAGACATGGGGCACATGCCCCGAGGGACATGATTCTCTCCTTAGTCTTAGCTCATGGGGCTCTCTGTAAGGAGTTTGGGGTGGGCAGGAAATGGGAACCGAGCTGAGGCAGAGGCTGAGATTGGGCCAGATGAGGGTGCTCCTGGCTGCCCGGCCTTCTGCTGAGAACCATCCCTGGGACAAGGGCTGCCGTTCCCAGGGAAACTGTCTCCCGCCTTTCCCGCGGGCCTCATGGTGTGATGCTGTGTGTGTATATTCTATACAAAGGTACTTGTCCTTCCCCTTTGTAAACTACATTTGACATGGATTAAACCAATATGAACCACCGCTGCCTGCATGGATGTGTGTGTGTGGGGGGTGAACCGAGGTGCTTCCGGGGTTTTGTTCATGGCAGCAGTGGGGGCGGGGGGAGTGTAGCTATAGGTGTGGAAGGCCTGGTCTGCTCAGGGGCCCTGAAGCATTCTGGCTAGGCTGGGGGCTGGGGACCTGGACTCCTGACTATTGATGGGTAGGGGCTCTGGGTTAATTCCTTATTGATGTAGAATCGTCAGCTCATTAATCACAGAAGAGGTCAGAGCTTGGGGGTACAGAGGGGTTGTAAGCTCTGTCCCCTGACCTAGGGCAGAAGCAGCTATAAGCTGGGGTGAAAATGTAAGCCTCAGGCCTCTAACCCTTTTGAGACCCCTGAAATGTGCCAGGGACCACAGTGGGATCACCAGCTCGGCCTCCTGGGCTTTTGTTCTCCATCCAAGTGAGCTACAGTCCAGTGTAGCCACTGCTGGGGTCCTCACGGAGACAGGAGAAACCATTGCTCACCGGGGCTGCTGACGCCGGAGAGAGCGTTCTGGTCACCCTGCAGCTCTCCCCTCCCACAAGGTGCCCCACTACCCAGGTGCCTCCCAACCAGGTGCTCAAAGCTGCAGATACGTCCTCGTCCACGGCAGCAAGCTGTTTGGGGGAAATTATGCTCAAAGTCAAGGACCAGAGGATGTCCATGACTCCAGACCACATGGCCTCATGCACAGGCCTGCTTCCCATCTTCCCAAATCCCCAGCCTCAGACACTCCTCGGGGCACCCACAGTGACCGCCACACAATCGTCCAGCTGGCAGCTCCTGCCTCCCCCGTACCTACCCAGATGAGGCACAAAGGCATTCTTGGTTGGAATCCAGTGAAGGCCCTTCATAGTCCCATGCTCAGAGAGATGGCACCAAAAATCCCAAACACCAGGATCCTGGGGCCTGAGGTCATGGGACACGAACGTGGCCTCTGTGGAGATGAGGTGAACAGCTTGGTGAGGGCTGAGGGTCTGGGAAAGAAGCTGGTTTGGAAGAGGGGTAGGTGTGAGGGCAACGGATAAAGAGGCCTTTAAGGGCTCTACACCTGCTGTCAAGCTGACTCTCCACGCACCCCTCTCCCTGTCTAGACTCAGTAGGCCCTGGATGGCTGGTTACTCCCACCCTGGGGGCCATATGCTGTCTAATAGGGGACATTAACTCGGAGTGAGGGCATTCCACTGAAGCCTGTCCTGCTGTGGCTCCTTGAGCTCTCATGGCACAGGCGGCACTGCCACCTGTTGGCCATGGCTAGGAATGCAGCCACATGGCACAGCAATCTGCCACAGGGGCAGGGACTTGAAAGCTGAGCCATGGTGGACTCAAGACAGAGAGCCTATTCCTGAGGATACTGGGGTCATCGCCCACCGAGAGCTTTCCTAGCCATCTCATTCACTGTTCAAACTTTCAAAGCCGAACCCTGTCCCCGAAGCTCCCTGATCACCACAGTATGCTCTAGCGTTTATTGAACACTTACTGCGTGCCAGCACTCTGCAGCCAATACTTGTAGAATGAAAGAGGCTGAAGTCGCCTCTACTGCTTAGGGAGTACCTAAGAGGTCCCCCCTTCGAGATGAAGTTTGTTGCTTCAGCCACAAATCCCAACCTGCTTCTGTAGGGCTCCGGGCAGCTTAGTCCAGCTCCCATCACAGTGCTGCTGGCTGACCCATGCCATCTGCAACAGTCCTGGATCCAGGGGCTTCCTCGTGAGGTGTGCTGGAGCTGGGCAGGCCCCTAACCCCTGCAACCTCAGACTCCCAGGTAAGGGTCCAGAAAAGCCTCTCGAGTGAACCGCCAATGGGGACCCATGGGGATGATGCTTTACACCGGGGTTCTGGCCTCCCGGAGCAGAGAGCACTGCCCTTCCCTCAGCCTACCCTGACCATTCAAGGAATCAAAACTCTGGCGATGGGTAGTTTCCGTTAGGAAAGGTGCTTGCTTTCCGGGTTATGCACGGTTAGGTTCTGGAGATCTGGTACGACGTGGTGCCTGATGTCGACCCCAGTGAGCACTGGAACAGTAAGTAGGGGCACAGCATACGTAACTGTTTGCTAAGGGAGCAGATGTCCTAGTAAGTGTTCTCACCACAGCTGAAAACAATCAACTCCAGGCCTATCCTCCCCTACCCATGTTAACCCCGACCACCGCAAGGCCACAGGGATCAGCAGCCCGACTGCTGCGCTTGTCCAGCCAGTTGCAGGGCTCCCAGAGAGACATGCCCAGGTACTCTGGCCCCCTCGGGCTAGGGAACCAGACCACTGGCAGTCCGCCAGGACAGAGGCCCGGGGAATTCTCTACTTAAGGGACCCCAAAGTCCCAAAGGGCCCTAGGGAGTTGAATCAGAAGAGGGCCCCACAGATGCAGGTTGGAGGGAGGAGTCAGGCATTTATTTCTGGAACAGAGATGAGGGCGCGAGGATCTTAGCCGTGGAGACAGCTGCGCATGAAGTTGACACAGAGGCTCGTGTAGTAAGTAGGGTAGTCGCGAAGATGGCTGACATGTGCGGACGACATGAAGTCCACAGAGCGCACCCGGACTTGGTGCGCCAGGCGTGCTTCCACCATGCGCTCCACATCCCGAGCCAGGACAACCTCGTCAGCCCGCGAGTAGAGGTAGAGCTCGGGCCAGCGAGAGCTTGCGTCCTGTAGCCTGTCATAGAAGTGGGTGTGGAAGAGGGCAGTGAGTGGAGCAAGCAGGACGTGGAACAGGACTGCCACCAGGGCAAAGGCCATCAGGAGCGACAGGCGCAGCACAGTGGACCGGTGCTCCAGGATGGTGGCCAGGGCCCGCAGAGCTCCTAGCAGGTTGCTGTCACCAGGACCGCTATCGAAGATGGTGCCCACCACGTGCAGGTGGCAGAAGCGCTGGTGGGTCTGCAGGAGCTCCAGCACATAGCGGTACAGCATGACGCCAGCATTGCTGAAGACGTGGAAGAGCAGAGGCTCCTTCTCAATCTCATAGTCAAAGAGCAGCTCAAGCAGCTTCTGGGCCAAAACGCGAAGCGAAGGGATGCCCAGGGATTCTGCGAAGAAGACCATGTGCCACGGGGCCGTGTACCGGATCACGATGCAGCCCTGGTGGGGATAGAGAGGCCTAGTCAGTCCTCAAGGATGGGGTAGGGGTGGCAGGTTCAAGCTAAGGGCAGAGGGGCCCAGTTTCCACAGTCCAAGTCCAGCAATGCCCTTGGGCCTGTTTCGGCCCCGGTGACCACTTGCTGTGCCCACATAGACACCTTTCAGGGGCACAGGGTTCTCTCAAGAACCATTTTTGGCCTTCACTCCATGCTGGGCAAATGGCATTTGAGGCTCAGAGCTGGAGCATGTTTTGGAGACATCTGGGCTGACGAAAAGAAAGTCTCCTCATTCTGGTTCCTTCCCTGTCTATCTTCCCAGCCCCCAACCCCAGGCATCACCACTTGGCTATGCCCTGCTACAGTGACCACACTGTCCCTTCCTCCTAGACACAAGTAGGTACCCCATGAGACCAACACCTGAGAGAGAACCTGCAGGCCCCAGCCTTGACCACCAGAGGCCACTTCTGAGCCAGGCCCCGCACCACAGCCATCTGGTCACTGGCCTTCCTCCTCACCTTCCCCACTACCGCTCCCGAGAACAGAGTCCATACTCTCTGCACTCAGAGCCTGACACCCCAATCCATCTGGTTTCCAGGCCTGTGATCATCCCTCAGCCTCTTTCTGACACTCCAAGTGTGGCAAACATTGCTGCTCCTCAAATTATAAAACCTGGGCCCAAACTCCCTCTAGGCTTTTGTACCTTCACTGCCTGGCCCAAGTGCACCCCAAAATCTCCATACAAGTCCCCTTCTTGGCCAGTGAGAAATGAGAGCCAAAGCCACCCTTCCTGAATCCTAATCCTCTCTCATTAATCTCCCATCAAGGAATCTAAGTTGGACAGGCTCTGGGGTCAGGAAGATGTGGGTTCAATTCCTGGTACAACCACTTACTAACAGTATGGACAAAGAGCTCTTTACTACTTCTTTTTGAGTCTCTGTCCCCTTATGAGACAAGACCCACCTCATAAGGTTACAGGTGCAAAGTACACTCTCACCCCAGGCAGTAATTAGTGGCGGTCGTGGTAATGAGAAGATCACGGCCATGGTACTTGCATGACCCACAAATTGGCGTGGTAGCTGAGGCCCCTGGCCCGCCAGCCTTGGAGTGTTGGAGCACCCACATTCTCCCACATGGTCAACTCCTTTCGGTCCCTGTCACTTGTCTCCTGGCAATGGGATTCCACGCTCCTAGATGCTCTTGGAACCTAGACTCTTTACTAAATCAATATTATGAAAAAAGGTGGCCAGCCCTGTGCCCATGGTTAAAGGAGCTGGGTCCCACATGGTCAGCTGGGTTCAAACGCTGGCCCCAACGGCTTCAAAACACACTGGCCACGTGTGCCCAAAATCCCGATGGGGGGAGGAAAAAGGACTGTGGTGTGGCCACATCCCAGTGAGAGATGTCCTCTCTCCCTCTCTCCCTCTCTCTCTCTCCCTCTCTCCATCTCTGGCAAACACATGTACCCTCTGACTACAAATATCATGAAAAAAGGAACCACTCTAGATTTAAAAGAGGCTGAAGGAACAACCACGTGTGATCCTGGATTGGATCTTGGCTTGGGCAAATGAGACGTAAAGGGCGCTTTGGAGACAATCAAGGAAGCTCGATCTGGTCGGGAAACTAGAGGAAAGAAAACTGACTAACATGAGAAGGTGGAGATCATGACCTGGAAAAAAAAGCAGGAAATAAAACAGTATGTTTACTAGATGTCATTTAGAAACGAGACGGTACACAGGGAGAAGAGCCTGAAAGATCCTCTGCAGGTATAAACAGAGGTCATCTCTAGGTGGTAGACGATGGTGTTTAAATCATAAAACATTAGAGTTTGGACTGGAAAGGTTTTCCCTAATCCACCCTATCCCACTACCTGGGGTAAAGGCCCCCTTCCTTCCCAAGCCCTCGGCCTTCCCGTCTTCGTGCCTGCTGCCCAGACAGCGGCTTTACTCCCACCCTCCTCGACCACCCATTTCCCGGAGACGTCTGTCTGTGGCTTCCATCAAGCCTTGCTGGGCTTCCTCATCCATCTGTGGCCACTCCTCCTCTCCTTCCTCCTCTCCTTAAGTCTGAGTTCCTCGGGGTCTGTCCTAGTCCCTCTTCTTTCCCCTCGGCACTTCCTGGGAGAACTCTGAGTCACCTCAGTGCCTGTCAAGTCTCTTCAACAATCACCCTCTTCTACCCAAGAAGTGCCCCAGGCCTGGCATTACCAGGGACCCCTCCCCGGCCCCCTGCCTGCACCACCAGCCCCGGGGTCCTGACCACCTTCTGTCCTGAGTCACTCCAAACCCACCTCCAAATTCGCTTCTGGCTTCCAGCCCCAGCCCTGCCAGGCCTCCCCAACTCTGCAGCAACTCCATCATACCCCTGCTTAAATCTCCCAAAGCCCCCCAATCTCACCTCTTGACCCTTGTCCTTTCTTTTATCCTCTGTTCTGGTCACACTCAACTATTCTTATTCTGCCTACCCTCAAAGATCTCAGTCTAATGAAAAAGCAAGATAAACAGGCCTCGTGAGTCAGCCAGTAGCGTGGTGGGTAAGGTGGCTGGATCCCACATGGTCGACTGCGCAGTTTGAGTCCCAGACCCGGTGGCTTGAAAACACACTCTGGGTGCATGTGTGTGTGTGCCTTGTGCTGCCCAAAAGCAAGGACGGGCATAGGCTGAGTTCCTGGTAACCGCAAAGCGGCAGGGCCCTGGCCCACTGGTGTCCACGCGCTATGCTAGCAGTACTCACCCTCTTGTGGTAGATGGCGCTATACTTGGCGAGGTACTTGTCCCTGCAGCCACCCCAGCCCAAGAGAATCACCACAGGCTGCCAGGCCTCCGCCTCCTTCCCACCTTGGCTGGGGCTGGTCTCTGAAACACAGACGTGGAATATCAACACCACAGCTGGGCTGGGCTGGGGGACTGGCCAGGCCAGAGCCAGCACCACTCTGGCTACCGGCCAAGAACCAGCAGGCGCTGCCCACAGGGCTCCTTCCCATGTCCTCCGGCTCCAACTCCTTCTGTGGAGTCACTGGGCAAACCCATGCAAGGACACCTTTCTTTAGTGACTCAAAGACAATCCAGATGAGAAAAGTGAACACCTTCACCATACAATTTCACCTTCTAACCCAGGGGTCAGCAAGCTATGACCCATGGCCTAAATTAGGCCCACAGCCTGTTCTGTGTGGCCTGTGAACTAAAAGGGTTTCCACATTTTAGGGGAGAGATTTTTGCTAGAGAGCATGTGTGCTCACCAGAGAGACAGAAAAAGAAAGAAAGGAAGAAAGGAAGAAAGGAAGAAAGAAAGAAAAGAAAAGAAAAGAAAAGAAAAGAAAAGAAAAGAAAAGAAAAGAGAAAAAAGAAAAGAAATCGAAAAGAAAAGAAAAGAAAAGAAAAGAAAAGAAAAGAAAAGAAAAGAAAAGAAAAGAAAAGAAAAGAAAAGAAAAGAAAAGAAAAGAAAAGAAAAGAAAAGAAAAGAAAAGAAAAGAAAAGAACCCTGGGGGGATGGCCATGCCACAATCCCTTCTCCATTCTCTCAAAATTTTGGGCATGCACGTACATGCGCCCAGCATGTTTCAAGCCACTAGGTCCAGGACTTGAACCACCGTCAACCACGTGGGGGTCAAAGCCTTAATCACTGCTCTACCAGCTGGCTCTAATTTCTATTTTAAAGATTTTTAAGAAATCAGGAGACTAAGGGACTGGCAGGTACCATGGTGGTTAAGGGCGCCGGACTCCCATATGTGCGACTGTGGTTCAAGTCCCAGACCTGGTGAATTGCTTTCTTGCTTTCTCTCTCTCTCTTTTTCTCTATCTCTCATTCTGTCCCTCTCCGGTCAAATTAAAAATTAAAAATATGCAAATTTATTAAGTGAAATAAAATCATTCTTTAAAAAAATCGAGAATAATATTTTGTGACACGAGAACTATATGAAACTTAAAATAGTTCCATGGAAACATGCCATTCTCATCCATTCACTTCCTGTTCATGGCTACTGTCATACTGAGAGAGCAGGGCTGAGCAGCTGCAACAGAGAACACATAGCCCGCAGAGCCTAAAACATTTTTTAAGTATCTTATTTATTCATTTCTTCCATGACAAAAAGAGACAAGACAGAGGGAGAGGCACACCCAGCAGGGTCTTCATGGCATAATCTACCCCTAGCCAGCCACAGTCAGTCTGGATTGCAGGCTCGAACCTGGGACCCTCCCATACAGGTCTAGGTGAATTAGCACTACTCCTCCATCTGGCCCCAAAGCCTAAAATATGTATTGACCAATGACAATAAAGCCAGCCTCTGCCCTAACTCCACGAGCAATGGAAGAAGGAGGTCTGAAAAGGCCCACACCAAACGCCCGCCCTGCCCTGCCAGAGAACAAGGCGAGCCGGTTTACTGAGCTCTAACCCACGTGACACCTGAGGCAGGCACTCCTACGACAGATGAGAAAACCGAGGCAGAGGACAGTTACGTTACTTGCCTAGAGTCGCACAGGAAGCATGGCGCTGGGCACCTTAAGCTACCAGAGCCCCTCCCGGGCCTGGAAGCAGGTCTCTGGTGAAGCACGGGGAGGTGCAGGCCCGTTGCCTTCACCAGGGCTGCTTCAGAAGAGGCCTGGCCGCAACCTTGTGAAGTCACCGCATCTCATTTCCCCCGTGAAATGAATGCCACCCCCTCAGGGGGACTTCTGCACAAGGGCTGTCTGCAGCTAGTAATCTGCCTTCCCGAAAGGGCTGGTGTGTGCCCTTCCAAGGACCAAGCCACTTGGCTATGCTCAGCTGCCACCCTGAAATTTATGGATGCCGGTGGTGACCTGGCAACAGTAAATTTCAAGGCTAGTTAAGAGGATGGTAAATATAAATCACTAACCTTTAGACAAAAGGAAGACAACAATTTCCTGTGGAAATTAATGTGATTGAAAAGTTCAATGTTCCTGCTCCCTAGCAGTGGTGCTCTGGCCTTCGGAGATTAACTGCCCCCCCCACCCCCGTGGGGAGACCAGGCTGGGCTGCACCTCAGCCTGGACCAGCGGCTGCCAGTGCCTGCGCCCCTGCAGAGGCCTGCCAGCCTCCCGGCCTCCACGGGCGCTGCCCTCTGCCTCCGATGTGAGAGGCAGTTCCACAGGCCTAACTCAGGATACTCCAAATATTCCCATCACCTTCTTGGTTTTAAATGTTTTGTTTTTTTTTTTTCTTCCATGAGAGGAAGACAGAAAAAGAGACAGGCCCTGCCAGGGTATTCACTGCGATCCCCGGTCCCAGCCTCAGCCAGCCTGGATCAGTGACCTGACCCAGCCTGTGGCCTCCGCACCGCGGAGCCTGGCATTAACCGCTGCACCACTGTGCTGGCCTCTCCCTGCCTTCTCGGCACCCCGTCTTCTGCCAGAGCAGCTCTTCACTTTCTAGTGGAGCGGCCACCTCTGGGCCTCAGCGGGTCCCAGCCCAGCCTTGCCCACCCACGAAGCTCAGGCTGAGGTGGCCTCACGGGGAGTAACGAACAGCTACTGTTTGGATCCGTCCTTGAATCCCTGGGGTGAAGCGGCTGGATTTCTGGGACCCTGCCCCAGGAAGGCCCCTTACACCCGTGCGGCCCTCTGAGAACAGCCAGCCTTCGAAGGCCCTGCCGTGTGCCGTCCCAACACACCAGCAAAGGCTTTGGGACTGATCTCAAAACAGACAGCGGCCAAGGGAGGCCACACCCCTGGGGACCACAGGATGTCAAGGCCAGTCCCTGCAGCGGTGATGGCGTCTCCCAGTCGCGGAAGGTGCAGACAGCTTCTGGAGGGCCTCCGAGCTGCCCTTCGTCCTGCGGCCGGGACTTATTTTGCTCCACTGTGAGTTTGCTGCATCTGTGGGTCACTAACTCGGGCAGGAATGACTCTTCAGCAGACATGCGGCTCCAGGAAGAAACCCTCAGAGCGGTGGTGACCCAGACATACTGCCTATGTGCAGACCCCAAGTTTTCCAGAACATCCTCAAAGGGGAGGAACCACTCCCCTCAACCGCCTCCAGCAGGCAGTCGAGGCTGCC